AGAGTGTGTGCACTAGAAGACTGGCAATATATACACATCATGGATTTGAAACCTTTCTTTTCAACACAACAAAGGATGCTTTGACTTACTGTCTATGACACTAAGCAATCTCGATTTCGGCTTCAAGCAAGATGGGCAAATTCTGTCACATCAGTGTGCAAACATGGTCAGTTGTAATTGTTCTTTCATTTATCTTCAAGTCATAAGCTGACCTGCCAGTTACACGTATTTGTAGACAAATTACATGTTACAGCGTTTCATCAAGAATGTATCCCCAGATGACAACTGAGTACTTGTTTAACTATATACTGGTTTTTCTACTGTAACTGTAACTGTAAAGGGTTTTACTGAATTACACAACAAATGAAGACGAAGCTTCCTTATATCACCTATAATACTTGAATGCACACTGTATATCTTTGAGAACTCAAGCTCACATGTAGTGGCTGGTTACACAAAACTTTTCCCACAACTTGGAACACTTTATTTTATTCTCTTTCAAATGCTTCAATCTATATCGTGAGACTGACAGAGATACAAATAATGATTACACAATTTAGTGACCAATTTCCTTGCATTATTTCCAACAGCAGGATTTGGGGCAACAACTGGCTAGAGACTGGACAGTCAGGATTCGATTCCTGGCAGGAACAGATTTACATCTACACCACAGCCTCAGTTATATAGAGCAATATATTTATTTGATGAGAGCCGCTCTATACTTTGTTACTGTTGGATGACACTGATAATTCGAGGTGATTATTCTGAATAAAACTCCGATTCACTTGGATATTACTCTTTACTTCCTAGCACTGTACATTTTGTCTCACACACCCACACACACCCAGACTATCAAATTTCCATATAGTTTGAACAGATAACCTGTTACTGATTTCCTATCCACACCATTTGCAAAGTCTGCATCTGCATATCCTACCAAAATCGTTTCACTGTGACTTCTATACCATAACCCCCCCAGTTCTTGGTCCCTTGAAGATAACACAAAATATGCTTCAGGCACTTTAGTAGCCTTGCTTTGGTACTGGCTGAAGAAATTCACTGCTATACTCAGATCTGGTCTAGTCACTAGACATGCATACATTAAGCATCCTACAAGTGCTCTATATGGCCGGTTCTCAACTGGTTCTGAAACAATGTCTTTTATTTGCTTAACTTCCAAAGGTGTCAACTCTGGCTTCAAGGTATCCATTTTGAACTTATGAATTAATTTTTTAACATTGAATCATCTTTTCGTTCAATCTTAATCCCAAAAAATAACTAAGCTCCCCTAGATCTCTCATCTTAAACTCATTCATCAGTACTTCTTTTAATTCCTTGAGAGTTTCTGGACAATCTGTTGCAATGATGAAGTCATCCACATACAGTAATAGGTACACGCACACATTGTCAAAGTTGCCTACATACAGACGTCTGTCGGTCCTACACTGCTTAAATCCCAATTCTTTCACATACAAGTCAAATCTTGTGTTCCATTCCATCGGAGCTTGTTTCAGCCCGTACAATGTTTTTCGTAATTTACAAACAACCCCGTTCTCTACATTTAGGATTTCTGGTGCTTCCAAGTAAATTTCTTCCTTAAATAAACCATTTAAAAAGGCATTTTTGACATCCAACTCACGAATGTAAAAACTTTTTACTATTAGATACACTCAGTAAAATCCTCAAAGTTGACCAGTTTCGCTACTGGTGCATATGTCTTTGAATAGTCTTGACCCTCCTTTTGTGAACACCCTTTTGCCACTAATCTCGCCTTGTATCATTCGATTTTTCCCTCTTTGTTATACTTTACTGTAAGTACCCATTTGCTTTTAATAACCTTCTTGCGCAAAGCTGATATCTTCCTCCTGTATTGCTTGATACCATTTCTCCCTATCTGGCCTGACTTCTACCTCTTCATAGCTTTCTGGCACTTCTCACAATACTCAATAGCACTCATCGCAACCTCATAATCGGAACTATTATCTATCCTTCCATCATCTGGCATATTTGTTAACACAGCAAACTCCACCTTATTGTTCCTTTCCTCGGATATTAATTCCTCATACTCACCCGTCATCACTACAGTAGAGTACTCATTGAGATACCCTGGTCTCTTACGAATTCTACTGCTCCTGTTTACTTCCAGCCTTGTCTCTTCCATTTCTGTTTGGTTTTGATCAACTGAACTTCCTGTTTCCACCTGACTATTTCTCTCCCCAATATTGAGCTCATCTTCTCCACTCTCCTCTACTTCACTTACACTGATAATCTCATTTCATAACTCTCCTTCGAACGATGTCCTACTTTCATCAAACACAACATCGCATGCTGAATTGATCTTTCTTTCAAATAGGCTCCACAACCTATACCCTTTAGGGCAAAATCCTAACAAAATGCATTTCTTGCTCCTGGACTCCATCTTATTACCTATATCAGTCATATGTTTCTTAACAAATGCAACACACCCAAACTTCCTGAGTTTTTTTAGATTTGGGCGAGTCCCATACCAAACTTCTGCAGGAACCTTATTTCCTTCAATTGCCTTTGTGGGACTTCTGTTTATTAGGTACACAGCCATAAGGGCTGCCTCTATCCAAAAGGTTTTCTTTAAGTTTGATCCTCTTAACATGCATCTAGTTTTGTCTTTAATTGTTCGGTTCATTCTCTCCGCTACTCCATTCTGAGCACTTGTGTATGGTATATTCAACTCCCATTGGATACCTTTTTCCCTAAAAAATATAATTACTTCATCGTTCACATATTCCCTGCCGTTATCACAACTAAATCGACAAATTTCAACTGAAAATCTCGCAGTAGCCATTGCTACATATTCTTTCAAATACTGGGCAACTTCACTTTTATTCTTTAAACCATATGCAACCGTGAAATGAGAGAAATCTTCTACTACAGTTAGTAAGTACCGCACTCCATTGTATCCAGTGGGTTTGATAGGACCAAACACATCACTATGAATTCTTTCAAGTATTCTGCTCGCTCTTTCCCTAGAATGGGAGTGTGACACACTCACTTGTTTCCCTTCAACACATACGTCACATATTTTATGTTCAAACTTATGAATACAGTCCATGCCATCTACTGAATTCTGCAATTGTCTCAATCCTTGTGCACTAAGATGTCCCATCCTCTTGTGCCACAGTTGCTCTACACTCAGAATAACACTCCTCAACTTCTGTTCCAACCTTATATTGCAATTTATACAACTTTCCATGTCTAACTCCCTCAGCAATCTTTAATATCATTATACCAAATGGCAAAGTTCCCCTTTTCAATTATCATCTTACATTTTTTATACTCAAGTTTGGAAATGGACAACAAATTAAATTTCAAATTGTCCACTAACAACACATTCTTAAATTCAAGTATTACTGGTTTGCCATTGACATAAGTTACCCCTCCCACATCCCCAGTTCTTTTGGCTTCCAAAAATTCCTTACTTTTAGCAATGTGTATCTTTACTGGATTCAAAAGGACCCTTACATTGGTTGCTCTTGTATCGGCTCTCACAAGGTGATCTGTAGCTCCCGTATCTAGAAGCCAAACACTTTCATCTTAATCACTCATATTCCTTTTATTTATATAATTTGCACCAACGGAAATATGGAAACTATACACTGGTGGTTCTGTGTCCTCAGGCACAGATACTTGATGGACATCTGTTGTTCTCCTTCCATAATTATTATAATTTCTTCCTCAGAGATTACATGGTCCTCTGCCTAGGTCTCGTTGTGGTAGATTTACCGTCTGCTGATACCGTCCAAATAGGCCTCCTTGATGTTCACCTCTATCACTTCTCCTTGGTTATACACTTCTGCTTCCCCTCAAATTGACTCCTCCTCCTGGTCTGAAGCATTCCGCCACCTTATGGTTGGTCATCCCACAATTATAAC